TGTTTTGGCGTCGTTAGTACAGAATAATAATGAGCATTCACTGACGTCACCGGAGCAAAAATGCACCGGTGAATTTGGCGCGCTTGCGGGTCTAATGAAAACTGTACATTAAAACCTTCAAATTATAATATTTTGGGCTCAAACTACTAACAAAATAAAGAGAAAAGTGAGACGAATCCACTGGTATACGGCCGAAAAAGAGAAAACCAACAATACGAAAGTTATCAAGGTCCAATGTATTGCATTTTTAATTAGTTTAATCATAGCAGCCCAAAAATGCGTGTTGAAACTTTTACCCTCGCGCGTGGCGCTCGGGCATGGATCGAGTCTACTCAGTTTATTAGTATGACTGAAAACACTCGCACGTCGGGCATCGTGTTTCCACAAAACTCATTATAGTCTTTATATAACTTTATATCAACGCAGAAAGATGGTTTATAATTCTTAAATATTCACGATACCGCCATATTTTTTTAAAATTCAACACAACACAGACATTGGGCTGCTGTGTTGTGATATGAATTCCAATTTTCTCTCCCAAAGGAGAGGCTAGCCACATGTACGCAGTGCGTACATATTTTTTAAGAATGGTTTCAATTTTTTCGCAACCTAATTTTTCAAATATCTCCGATGATCTTATTTCATAATTTGAACCCGTTATCACTCGAACGGCTCGCTTATGCAATTTGTGTAGTTTTTCAATATGCGCACAATTACCATCATTCCATACATTCGAACAGTATGTGAAATGAGGTAGGACAAGTGCATTGAACATGTTTAGAAGTGTATCTTGACCTACAAATTGCTTTGCTCTTTTCAAGAGAGCAATTGACTGGGAAATTTTTTTGCATTGTGCATCGTTATGTTCTTTCCACTTTAACTGTTCATCAATAATGACCCCAAGAACTTTCTTACTCGAGGCTTGCTGTACAATATAATTGCCAATAACTATTTGAGAATTACTTGAAGATTGTTGTATTCTCTGTCTTGAGCCTACCAACATGCATTCAGTTTTCTCCTGATTCAATGTTAATTTGTTGGCAATTAGCCATTTATGTACTTTTCTAAGTCAGTGTTCATTTTATTTTCGATTTCTGTGGACGATTTATCTTGACAAGACAAGTTTGTATCGTCCGCAAACATAGAAGCTTGTGTTTCTTCTAGGCAATTAGGGAGGGCATTAATGTATAACAAAAAGAGTAATGGGCCAAGGTTTGATCCCTGGGGAACACGGCAAGTTACATTAGCAACTTCTGACATTGTATTTTGAAGTTTACATATTTGTTTTCTTTCAGAGAGATAAGATTGAAATTAGTGTAAAGCGGTTCCTCTTATTTTATATACAGGGTGTCCCAAAAAAAACGAAAAGTATTGAAATCACCAATAACAATTTAATTGTTAGAATTTGAATGCCTTAGCACTCTGTTGGTTCCCACGAGTGCATAAATGATTGACATAAAGTAAATTTTATGCATAAAGAAACTGTTTAAGAAGCTGTTTTTAATTCCCAGGAGCAGAAAACGCGCACTTAACCAGGATATATTCCTAACTAAATTCTAATACATGCACCTTGTCAATATTTTACGCATCATTACGTCCAGCTGTTTGGTAGGGCATTCAAATTTAACAATAAGTGATTTAAATAGTTTTCGTTTTTTTTGGGACACCCTGTAGTTCTAGCTTAGAAATTAAAATTGTATGGTCAACAGTGTCAAAAGCTTTTTTGAGATCTAGAAATAAAAAGCTATTAATCAGACCTTTGTCCGTATTGCTAAGACCCCGTTTACACGGTACCGGACGAATTTCTGACCGGACGAAAATTCGTCCGTTTCGGCCGTGTAAACACACGAGAACCACGGAACCGGACGAATTTGAGACCCCCTAACAGGACGAATTCGTGTGTAAACAGGCGGAAAAGGACGAATTTTCGTCCGGTCCCAAATTCGTCCGGTACCGTGTAAACGGGGTCTAAGACATTGGTTAGCGGAATGTAGGAGTGTAGTTGATAGATATCTCATATACACTAGATACACGGGTAAAAATTGATCAGGTTGTTCAAACAGTAGCGAACAATGTTGTGCTGCACCCCGTGAACAATATTGTTAACAAGTTGTTCCGAGTTGTTCAATCATCAATATTGTTGCAAGTTGATAACATGATTGTCAACAAGTTGCAACAACGTTGATGGTTCAACAACATTGTTAACAATATTGTTCACGGGGTGCAGCACAACATTGTTCGCTCCTGTTGTGAACAACTTGCATCAACATGATGATTTTTACGCGTGTAGCGCATCTCGGAATACAAAACTGAAGCCAAAAATCTCAGCGGTTTCCCCCATGAAAATAGGCGGCGGCCATATTGGTCGTTCCCACTCATCAATGAAATGCTATAGAAAATATTATACTTTTCGAGGCTTTTTTGCATTTCTGGATTAAAAATACCTTTTTGAGGTACGTTTGCCTTGAAATCGCAGCTTTTTTGGAAAAGGGTACAAGAAAAAAACATTAATTGGCGATGTTGTTGTCTTTGAATCGCATTTTAAAGCTAAAAATTTTGAATTACGACATTCTTTATATATTTGTTTTGAATCTGTGAATGATTCTCTGGTGAAGTATCGTCTAATCAATAGATGTACTTACGGTTTCTGGCACCACTTTATGGAAATGGATATTGGTAAGTAACGTTTCGACTATCGGCGTAGGCAGTTTATACTGTAAAGTCTGCACTTTCAGTTTGGGCAGTTTTCACTGTAAATCTTTAGTGAAATGTTTGAGACAGTCTGAGTCTGCACTTTCAGCTTGGGTAGTTTTTACTCTAAATCTTGAGACAGAGTTTGCACTTTCAGCTTGGGCAGTTTTCACTATAAATCTTTAGTAAAATTATGTTTGAGACAGAGTCTGCACTTTCAGCTTGGGCAGTTTCATAGTAAATTTTAGTAATATTTAGCTTTCTCTGATACATTCTGTGTAATCACTCACACTGGTGCTTAAAAGATACAAGTTTATTTAATTTTTTTCTAATTTTTTGTCCAGATGAATTCTCAGTGGTCTTTTTTCCAAGATGGTAAAATTTAACCTCACAGTAACTCTCGATGATGCTCTTGGTCAACTGAAATATAACATGATTTTCACCAACTGGTGAGTCAAAAATATGGTGATTTAGCTCAGTAAAAAGATTGTGTATGGACAATGAAGCCAGAACATATGGACAATGAACAATGAAGCCAGAACAGAAGTGGTCAGAACATATAAGTGCCTGCTTTCTGAGAACAGAACAGTATGGACAATGCAACCAGAACAAAAGTGGTCAGAACATATAAACATCTGCTTTTTGGGTGACCACTTTTCTTGATGAACATTTTGTATCAACTGTTTTCATAGTACTTCATCCTTAGGGATGTTTATCATGTTAATGCAAGTTTAATTTCAATCAATATAACAGAGTATACTGTAAAAAAATAAAAATTAATTGCTTACTGATGAAATGTCCTGGGAAGGTTCCTTTGGATTTTTGATTCTGTCACTTGACCCTTCACTATTACTTCTTATACTTTTTGCATCAGGAATGACTTTACCCATTGCTATGAAATTTTCTGAGTTTAATTCAAATTTTTAATTTCAATTGGCACCAAAACTTCTTCAGGTCTCCAATTTTTTTTTAAAATTGGACTTTTTTTAATGATATTTACAGTAACCACTAAACTCAAAAGGCAAAAATTGAAAGTTTATCATGTTTTCAATTTCTGAGAGTACTGGCAAATTTATTTTATTTTTTTAGAAAATTTTAATTATTGTGCATCTGATGAGTCAAAGAATTAGGAAACACTATTACACAAAGTCAAAAGTAATACTTTATTATAACAATAGAATTATTTATACAATAGTGAGTGCAACTATATTTATAAGATTATAAAATCTACTGTGCATCAAGCAGTTTATCCCATTGACCTTACAATATACAATAATGTAAGAAGTAATGTGTTTCATTACAAAATAGGGTTTCCCAAAGCAGTTCTAAAATTCAACTGATTATCAATGACCTATGCTGTTAATAATTACAGTAATTTGTCAGTTTGATTGCTTGAATTAAAAACAAAAGGTCTAGGACTCAACAAAAAGAAATATTTCTTGACATCAAATATTAAAGATAGTTTGAAGCATTCATACAATTGAAGGTTTTAGAAAGTTTGATTATCAACTACATTTACATAAAGCAATAGCAATTATGTTATATTGCCTGCGAATATATTATAAAGTTGCAATTATTCTTCCCTAGCTTCTAATAAAAATGTAATTTTAATCTTGATGTGATTCCAATGTATGTAATAAATATACAAATAGTAAGGAGTAAGAACCATTTTTGGAGTCAATGTTTTATATATTGACTATTTAAGATTTTAAGTCTATTTTTGCCATTGATAAACTGTGACTATTAAAAATATGTTTTTCAGTGTCGCTGTGTTTTACAAAAGAATATGCAAATACATTCACAATTTTGCCATGAAGCAATGGCGATAGCTCAAAATGTTTTATTTGGAGTTGGTGGAACTATATTTATATATACATCAGCAATGATGGTTTGTCCATAGGGTTTGTCCTATGGGCGCCCTTCATACGGGTCGACAAATATTGATCTTTTCGAAAAAAATAATTAAATTCTGCCTACCCGTTATTCACAATATAAAGCTCCAACAATCTGGCATCATTTACAACAAGTTGCACACTTGAAAAACCAGAATTGACTGCATAAAAGAGGATTTATTGTCAACTTTGCCCATTTCCGCAATACAAAATATACAAATTATCACGCTCCGTGGGAACGAACAATATGGCCGCCGCATGTAAACTGCGACTGCGATCAGGCTTCAATTTTCGCCTGCCTACAGGGTGGGATGCGCTATCTAGTGTATGTGAGATATCTATGGTGTAGTTTCGGTTGAATGAAGAGGACGAAAGCCTGATTGTTGATTCACCAAAATTGAATTTTGTTTTAGGAAGTCAAATATTTGATGATATATAAATAGTCTTCTCCAAGATTTTTGCAACAACTGATATTATAGAAATAGGTCTATATAATCCACAGTTGGTCCTTTCTCCAGATTTATAGATAGGAGTAACTTTTGCAAGTCTCATATCATCTGGAAAAATACCAGTGTTCAAGACAAGATTAAATAAGTACATGAGTGATTCAATTATGGAGTCCCCTGCTCCTTTAAGTAATTTACTAGAAATCTTATCAATGCGGCCTGGTGCCTTAGATGCTTTAACCTTCTTTAACACGCTCACCAATTCTGCCCTCGTAATGTTCTTAAATTCGAAAGCATTTGCTCCAGGAATCACATGATGTAAGGGGTCGAAATCTGATGGTGGTATATTTTCTGCAAGTTGTGGCCCTATCTTACAGAAAAAGATACTAAATTTGTTTGCAAAGTTTCTGTCACCTGTTATCTTGTTGTTGTTAATTGTAAATTCATTTATAGAAGTAGTCTTCGATCCCTTATTCAGTAATTCATTTATAATTTTCCAGCTATCCTTGCTATTAGTACTATTCTCCAAACTCGTTTTGTAGTAATTTGTTTTAGCGACTTTGATACGACTGTTTACTTCATTTCTGCATTTTTTATGTGCTTCGTGGTACGCTGGAGAATTAAGACTTACTGCTTTCTTTTTTAAAAAGTCCCTGTGATAACTCATGTTTTTAATTTCGTTAGTTAACCATGGGGTATATTCATGCAGTGGCGGCGCCAGGGGGGGGGGCAAGGGGGGGCAAATGCTCCCCAAATTATTTCCCC